CCTGCCTCAGCCTCCTGAGTAGCTGGGATTACAGGCACGCGCCACCATGCCCAGCTAATTTTTGTATTTTTAGTAGAGACGGGGTTTCACCATGTTGACCAGGATGGTCTCGATCTCTTGACCTCGTGATCCACCCGCCTCGGCCTCCCAAAGTGCTGGGATTACAGGCGTGAGCCACCGCGCCCGGCCTCCCTCAGCTCTTTCTATAGCCACTATCTGCTCCACCCTGGAAACTGAAGAGAGATAATGGTAGGGAGAGGCTCTTCCTTCACATCTGGCCCTTCACATTGCTGACATCAGAGCTGCCATATGCGGCTCCTGGGTGCCCGGAATGTGCCTGGTCTAAATTGCGATGTGCTGGAAAGGTAAAATACAGAGTTAGTTTAAAAAATTTAGTTGCAGGCCGGGTGCGGTGGCTCATGGCTGTAATCCCAGGGATTACAGGTTCACAGGCTTGAGCCACCGCACCCGGCCTGCAACTAAATTTTTTGGAGGGGCCGAAGTGGGCAATTCACCTGAGGTCAGGAGTTCGAGATAAGTCTGACCAACATGGAGAAACCCTGTCTCTACTAAAACTACAAAATTATCTGGATGTGGTGGCACATGCCTGTAATCCCAGTTACTCGTGAGGCTGAGGCAAGAGAATCGCTTGAACCCAGGAAGCAGATGTTTCCGTGAGCCGAGATCACGCCATTGCGCTACAGCCTGGGCAAAAAGAGCAAGATCTGTCTCAGGAAAAAAAATTAGTTGCAATTATTTATATGCCTTATTAATAATTACATATTCCTCACATATTAAAATGATAATATTTTGTATATATTCAACCTGTTCCTTGTTGGTTTTTGCTTATTTTTAGGACAAAGTCTCTCTATAGCCAGGCTGGAGTGCAGTGGTGTGATCTCGGCTTACTGCAACCTCTGCCTCCTGGGTTTAAGCAATTCTCCTGCCTCAGCCTCCCGAGTAGCTGGGACCACAGGCACATGCCACCATGCCCAGCTAATTTTTGTATTTTTTCAGTAGCGATGGGGTTTCACTATGTTGGTCAGGATGATCTGGATCTCTTCACCTCGTGATCCGCCCTCCTCAGCTGCCCAACGTATGGAATTTCAGGCGTTAGGCCCTGCGCCTGGCCCCTTATTTGTTTGTCTGTTTTCTTTGAGACAGAGTTTTGCTCTGTCCACCCAGACAGGAGCACAATGGCGCAGTCTTGGCTCATTGCAATATCTGACTCCCAGGTTCAAGCAATTCTCCTGTCTCAGCCTCCCGAGTAGCTGGGATTACAGATACCTGCCATCACGTCTGCCTAATTTTTGTATTTTTAGTAGAGATGGGGTTTCACTATGTTAGCCAGGCTGGTCTCAAGCTCCTGACCTTGTGATCCGTCCACCTTGGCCTCCGAAAGTGCTGGGATTACAGGCATGAGCTGCCTGGTCCATTGTTTCTTTTTAAAATTTAGCTTCTAGAAAATTCAAAATTTACATGTGGCTCATATTAGGCCTCCAAGTCCAGGCCTGGTCATTTTAGCCTTGGTGACCCACACATACACCTCTGGAAAGTCCCCAGGAGCCAGAAAGTCTAAAGTAACCACAAGTGACCAGGTGGCCACAGAAAGAAGTAAAACAACTTGTTCCTGCCCCAACTAATGGCTCTGCAAACCTGCATCCATTGTTCCTGTTCAGCCTTGCAAAAATTTTCCTCAGACATAGGATTTCTCAAGACCCCCACTCTTGTAACTATGTAATCTACCGAACCCTACCCTCTGACTGCAACTGATACTTCCCACCCTTATGATCATGACTGTTCTTTTTTTTTTTTTTTTTTTTTGAGACAGAGTTTCGCTGTTGTTGCCCAGACTGGAGTGCAATGGCATGATCTCCGCTCGCCGCAACCTCTACTTCCTGGGTTCAAGCAATTCTCCTGCCTCAGCCTCCCGTGTAGCTGGGACTACAGGCACGCACCATCATGCCCAGCTAATTTTTGTATTTTTAGTAGAGACGAGGTTTCACCTTGTTGACCAGGATGGTCTCGATCTCTTGACCTCGTGATCCACCCGCCTCGGCCTCCCAAAGTGCTAGAATTATAGGCGTGAGCCACCGCACCCGGCCATGACTGTTCTTAATAAATGACCCCTAGCCTTGTGATTATGCATCCCGTGACGCCCTTCCCCTCCCTAAGATAGATTGCCTACCCCCTCCCTTGATATCATGCATCCCACGACTTCCTCCTCTTCCCCAAGATAGATTACCACCTTTAGCTGACCATTTGCTCCAACCTATATAACCAATCCCCTCTCCTACCTCTTTTGCCTAACTCCTTTCTCAGACTTGGCTTGCTTGCATCCAATCAAAAAATAAATAGACTTGTTGCCCACACAAAGCCTGCCTGGTGGTCTCTTTACGTGAGCGACATGCATGACAGCTGACATTTTATTTCAGATGATTACCTCCTTTTTAAAATCTCAGGCTGCCTGTTCAGAGAACCAGAAGCCAGGAAGGTTAAAAAAGATGAAATTTTATTTTATTCATTTATTTAGACAAAGTCTTGCTCTATCATCCAGGCTGGAGTGCAGTGGTACAATCTCGGCTCACTGCATCCTCTGCCTCTGGGGTGTAAGCAATTCTCTGCCTCAGCCTCCTGAGTAACTGGGATTACAGGATTGCGCCACCATGCCTGGCTAATTTTTGTATTTTTTAGTAGAGACGGGGTTTCACCATGTTGGCCAGTCTGGTCTTGAACACCTGACCTTGTGATCCACCTGCCTCGGCCTCCCAAAGAGCTGAGATTACAGGGGTGAGCCACTGTGCCCTGCCACAAAAAAAAGCTGAAATTTTAAAACATTTGTTATTATATTTTTTTCATTTACGTATAGCCATATGATATATAATTTACAAATGTATATGACCTTATACACAAGGTTGAATGCAAATACCTTTTGGGGTGGGCCTAGCTCAGCTCAAGAAGGAAGCCCTGCCTGAAAAAATGCAGCCTAGGCTGTCACTCTTTATTCAGCCCAGTGTCTAATCACATCTTCTGTCACTCAGGGCCTGAGAGGGTGGGGTTTTAAACGTTATCCAATCAGCGACGCTGGACTGTCAACCGTCCAATCAGGCACACAGCTGGAGCGGACAGGACGGCTTCCGGGATATGGCGGGCCCTTTGTCTCTCTGGGCAGCCAGAGCTCCAGCTTTGGTTTTCACTTCTCTGTGTGTCCTGCTCCTGGAGGCCCAGCCTCTGTAGCCCCGTGACCTGCAGGCATTGAGAGATCCACAACTAAGATGCCAGGACGCCCTGGAAGCCTAGAAATGGTGAGAATGCTGGGTCAACATCCCTAGAGAGGGGAAGGGGTTGGTTGGAACCGGTAGGAAGTGGCCGTGGCGGGACTCAGGCCTCCCCAACGTCAGCTCCACAATCTGAACCCTGAGTTCTCCTTGCCCAGCTCGGCCTCAGTCGCCTTCAGCAATAAGATGGCGGCCGCGCTGACAGCCAGCTCACGGACGTCCTGTCTCTTCTCGGCGCAGTGACTGTGCCCTGGCCTGGAGCCCTCTCTGTCAGCTTTTGCACCCTCAGCGCCGCGTCTCCCAGATTCTGCAGGAACCGCGGGAGGGTCATCAGAGGAGAATCTGATTTGGGGTCCGGGTTTATGAATGGAAAGAGCGTTGTTCCTTGGGGTTCCCGGTTCCTATTTTCTCCTATTAAAAATTTATGGGAGTCACTGCAAAAATATTAAAGAACTTAATGTAAGAGTGGTTCTAGAATTGTAGAGCACCCAGCTATGGTTTGTAGTTTGTGGTCTGTGGGAGAGGCTTGAAGGAAAGTCTTTTATAAAATTCATGATGAAGAAAATCAGATTTAGTAATTGGTTTAGTACAGTTACGTGGTATATATATATGTATTTTAGAAAGAGCCGCGCTCTGTCGCCCAGGCTGGAGGCTGGAGTGCAGTGGCGCGATATCGGCTCACTGCAACCGCTGCCTCCTGGGTTCACGCAATTTTTCTGCCTCAGCTTCCCAAGTAGCTGGGACTACAAGCGTGAGCCACTGCACCCGGCTAACTTTTGTATTATTTATTTATTTATTTTAGTAATGACGGGGTTTCAACGTGTTTCACCAGGCTGGTCTGGTACTGCTGAACTTGTGATCCGCCCGCCTCGGCCTCTCAAAGTGCTGGGATTACAGGCATGAGCCACCGTGCCCCACCTGTTAATTCACTTTTTAACAGACATTCTGACTGGTGTGAGATAGTATCTCATTGCAGTTTTTTGTTTTGTTTTGTTTGCATTTCTCTAATGTGATGAACATTTTATAAAATATTTTTGCTAGACACATACTTGTGTTTTCAAAAATATGTTTATGTTTTTTGCCTATTTTTTAATGCGGTGGTATGTTGTTTTCCGGTAAACTTGTTTAAGCTTCTCTATTCTGGATATTAAATCTCTGTAAAAAATAATTTGCAATATTTTCTTTTTATTTCGTAGATTGTCTGTTTAGTCTGTTAATATTTTCATTTGCTGTGCAAAAGCTCTTTAGTTTAATTATGTTCCATTAGTCAATTTTTGCTTCTGTTGCAGTTTCTTTTGGTATCTTCATAATAAAATCTTTCCTAGTTTTTATGCCTAGAATGGTATTTTCTAGGTTATTAATCTTCCAGGTGTTTTTTTTTTTTTAAATTAGAAGTTTTGCATTTAAGTCTTTAATTCATCTTGAGTTGATTTTATATATGGTGTAAGGAAGGGGACCAGTTTTAATCTTCTACATAGTGCTAGCTAGTTGTTCCAGCACCATTTATTAAATAGAGAATTCTCACATTTCTCTCATCAGCTTTGTCAAAGATCAGATAGCTGGCCCGCCTCAGCCTCATAAAGTGCTGGGATTACGGGCATGAGCCACCTTGCCTGGCCATCAACATAGAAATCTTAAAGACCCCCCTTTGAGATTGTGGCTCCTTAAGCTTTTCAGATCTTGTTTAGTGACCGCTACAGTTATGTGAGAGGCTCCAGGTGTAAATAGAATCTGATGACAGAATCTGTAAGTGTAAACAAGCATCTTAAGAGTGAGAGATCAAGTCCACAAAGTATCCAAAGCCATGACCACAACTATACCTACCTTTATTTTATTTATTTATTTATTTTTTTGAGACAGAGTTTCGCTCTTGTTACCCAGGCTGGAGTGCAATGGCACGATCTCGGCTCACCGCAACCTCCGCCTCCTGGGTTCAGGCAATTCTCCTGCCTCAGCCTCCTGAGTAGCTGGGATTACAGGCACGTGCCACCATGCCCAGCTAATTTTTTGTAGTTTTAGTAGAGACGGGGTTTCACCATGTTGACCAGGATGGTCTCGATCTCTTGACCTCGTGATCCACCCGCCTCGGCCTCCCACAGTGCTGGGATTACAGGCTTGAACCACCGCGCCCGGCCTTATACCTACCTTTAAATTGTGATATTGGAGTAGAGTATTCTTGTCCTTTTTCTTACTCAAAAACTGGCAAAGCAGGATAGGTGATCCAGCCTCTGGAGCTCCACCAAGGCAATTCCATTTTTTATTAGAATCAGCCTGAGTTTCTCCAGTGTGGGTTATCATTAGGCCATCAGCCCTGGGTCACTGGGAATCCTCTAGCAATCATCTAGGTGTTTCCAAGACATTTGAGGACGTCCAGGGCAGAATTGTGTCAGGCTGACAAGAATGATTAATTCTGCTTCTGTATCAGTGTAAGAGAAAGGAGTCATCCTGTGTTTTCTTCTCCCTGATACAAGAGGTAACTTTGGTTGGTGCCCAGATGAGAGTTTCTGAAGTTTTCTGGCACTTGGGTGAAAGACAAAGAGAAGATCTGGTGACTCAAACTATTAAACTAATTGCTTCCATTTCATATGATCATTCAAAAAATAGATACAGCAGTCATGGTCCCTATCATCCAGAAACTTTTAGTCTAGATGGGCAACTGGATACATGATTGAATTAAGCATCATATGGTAGTCCAATGAATAGATGTGTGAAAAAAACAAAAAACTTGGGCCCCTTTTTTTTTATATTGCTGTGACTTATGTTATTACCTGAAGGGCTGTTTATGAACTGAAGAGTTGCTATTATTTTTCCTTTACTTTTCTAAGAATAGATATTTATCTTCTGCTAAAATTATCGTAGAAAACTTTAAAAGATTTGTTTAAATTGCTTATTAGTATATGTTATAAAATTGACAAAGCAGTGGCCAAAATAGATTAAAGTTACATGAACTCTGAAATTTAAGTTTTTAGGTAAGCTTAGGAAAAACCGAACTGGAAATACCCCAGAGGCATAGAGAACAAATTCTACCTAGGGTCTTCTCCCTGCCCCAGTTCTGATCAGATTCACCCTTTTTGGAGGACTTATTTAGGTCTGGCCTCACTCTGGAGTCTTTCTTTACAAAACTGATTCATAAAGATTCAAGTTTTGGCTGGTAAAATCGTGCTGACTTTCTAGAGCTGGTGCTCACAATATCCTGAAACCCAAAAACAGATACATAAGAAAAATAACATATACATTTCAAGATCTTAATTTTTAAATTTTGTAGTAAAATCAGTGCTTACAGAAACATTCCCTTTAGCAACTTGGTTTTTATTCCTGCAGATCTAGTAGTAGCTCCACAAGTCACAAACAAGTAAATATAAACACAAAAATTTTCTCTAAACTACATTAAACTCTACGTTTATAGTTCTTTATCTGTAGATCATTTGTTTATATTTAGCTTTTAGTTATTTATATATCTTCATGTCTACATTTTTAGCTTTTAGTTTATATGTTTTTAAGAAAATCAATGTCAGAGAAACAGAGAAATAAATATTAATTCTAGGCTCTTTAAATCCTGAGAATTATTGAGCACTTAGTATGAACTTTCAAGGTGTTATTAGGATTAATCACATAATGTGTTATTCCCAGCACAGTGCCCTGTAACACACTCTTGAGCACATAGTACCTTCTTTTTATTATTATTATTATATTATTATTTCATAATCTTTATTATAGTAGAATGATGGTCCTGGGCCACCAGCTTAAACCTTGTGGCCTTACAAAAGACCTGTGTCAACAGAGCTTGCCTCTTTCTCTAGACAGGGGCTCAGCCACCTCCAGGGGCATCCCTGCTGCATTTTCCCTGCTAGAGAATGGGGCAAAGGATAAAGGGAGAAGAGGGCATGACCTCACCTCAGGCTATAGCAGCTGCTCCACCACAAAGATCCTTTCGCCAGCAGCAGAAGAGAGGAAAACAGTGGTATGGCCAGGAACCCATTACCTCCTCTTACAGTTGCAGCACATGGTTCCTTAATAAACATTGCATGAGTTCATGTATACCTTCTTTTTTTTTTTGGGACGGAGTTTCGCTCTTGTTAGCCAGGCTGGAGTGCAATGGCGCGATCTCGGCTCACCGCAACCTCTGCCTCCTGGGTTCAGGCAATTCTCCTGCCCCAGCCTCCTGAGTAGCTGGGATTACAGGCACGCGCCACCATGCCCAGCTAATTTTTTGTATTTTTAGTAGAGACGGGGTTTCACCATGTTGACCAGGATGGTCTCGATCTCTTGACCTCGTGATCGGCCTCCCAAAGTGCTGGGATTATAGGCGTGAGCCACCATGCCTGGCCCATGTATACATATTTTTTAAATGCAGACTTATTCAGACATTGCTGCCTTTTGTTTTTTTCTGTAAACTTTAAAGAGACAGCAATGGAGATTTTTTTGTCTTTTTTAAAAAATCTTTTCATTTTTAGGACGGTTGAGGTGGTTCATGCCTGTAATCCTAGCACCTTGGGAGGCCGAGGTGGGTGGATCATGAGGTCAAAAGACAGAGACCATTCTGGCCAACGTGGTGAAACCCTGTCTCTACTAAAAATACAAAAATTAGCTGGGCGTGGTGGCACACAACTGTAGTCCCAGCTATTCGGGAGGCTGAGGCAGGAGAATTGCTTGAACCAGGGAGGCAGAGGTTGCGGTGAGCTGAGATTGTGCCACTGCACTCCAGTTTAGAGACAGAGCAAGACTCCATCTCAAAAAAAAAAAACAAAACTACTTTTCATTCTTATTACATAAAAACGTTTCATGTTTTATTTAGCTTTCTGACTGTGTGTGTGCTCTCCTTCAAAACTTTCATGATGATTTTCTGCTCCTCTATAAGGAAAGCGCACTTGATCCTGTCATGAACACATTTAGCACACATGGAACCACCATAGGCCTTGCTGACATGTTTCTTTGGTTTGGACAATTTCTTTTTTTTTTTTTTTTTTTGAGACGGAGTTTCGCTCTTGTTACCCAGGCTGGAGTGCAATGGCGCGATCTCGGCTCACCGCAACCTCCGCCTCCTGGGTTCAGGCAATTCTCCTGCCTCAGCCTCCTCAGTAGCTGGGATTACAGGCACGCGCCACCATGCCCAGCTGATTTTTTGTGTTTTTAGTAGAGACGGGGTTTGACCATGTTGACCAGGATGGTCTCGATCTCTTGACCTCGTGATCCACCCGCCTCGGGCTCCCAAAGTGCTGGGATTATAGGCGTGAGCCACCGCGCCCGGCGATGTTTTGTCTTTATTTGTATCCCAAGTATTTGTGGTGTGACAAGAGTGCTGAGTGTAAGTCCCTTACACTTCTGGTACAAATAAAGACCATGTAGGCAGAGTCCCTTACGCTCAGTGCTCTCGTCTAACTAATTCTAATAATGAGCCCAGGGGGAGCAACATCAGCATTGAGAGAGAACTTGTTTGAAACACCCATCCATGAACCCTTTCCAAACCTGCAGAATCACATGACATAGAGTGAGACCAACATTATCAAGTGATTTTTGAGCTCATTAAAGTTTTAGAGGCAAAGCTTAGCTAAGTGGTTATCAGCCCAGGCTTCTCATTTGGATTCCATGGCCAATTTACAAACATCTCTTTACTTGTATCATTTCCACAGGTTCTGTTTATTGTTCTAGGTGAAATTATTTATCGTGTTTTTATTGTGTCTCATGTGACTTTGAGATGAGGCCAGAATTAAGTCTGAGAGGTTCAAGATACATTCATGAGAGTAAAGTTTCACCTTCGCACTTGGTCACAGGGACTCTTCTGTTTGGTTTTTATGGGGAGAGGTGAGAGTGACCCGTATTTTCACTACTGTAGCAGAACTTGCTGGTATTTGTGGCAGGGTGGGCTCCTGAAGACAGAAATAGAGAAACATATTTTTAATTCATGGAGAGCTCATTGTTTGTGAATCTCTTCTGTTATAAAGAATAGAAATGGTCCATGCATGGTGGCACATTCCTGTAGTACTAGCTACTCGGAAGGCTGAAGTGGGAGAATCTATTGAGCTCAGGAATTCTGGGCTATAGTGCGCAATCTCAATAGGGTGTCCGCACTAAGTTCGGCATTAATACAGTGACCTCCGAGGAGCCGGGGACCACCAGGTTGTCTAAGGATGGGTGAACCAGCCCGGATAGGAAACAAAGCAGGTCAAATCTCCCATACTGATTAGTAGTGGGATCACGCCCGTGAATAGCCACTGCACTCTATCCTGGGCAACAAAGCGAGAGACAGCCCGCCCCCCGCCCCGATCTCAAAAAAAAATAAATAAATAAACATAAAAAAAGAATAAAAATGGGTGGACTTTTCCTGCAGGTTTTAGTTCTTTTATCTGTGAGTGTGAGGTAGCAGGTAAACAGGTGGTGCTGACACCTTTAAAGGCATTTTTGCAAGATGCTAGTGTAAATCTAAATAGGATTTTTAAATAAGGCAAAAGAGAAAAAAATGGTTGTTTTTTTTTTTTGTTTTGTTTTTTTTTTTAAGCTAAATATGTCTCAGAGAAAGAGCTATGTCCACTTTGCCTCCTGGAGTGCCAAGCATTTAGTCCTTGCAAACCTTTACTTCCCTGCTTGTGTTTCTTTTCCCCTAGTTGAGTTTGTTTTAACTATTATTTAAAATTCTTTTGATAGTCAAGGGCCTCTGCAAAATATTTCTCTCCTATATCCCAGAGCCTTCTCTATAGTCTCTAAATTGTGGCTTTTTTATATGCCATGCACATTTCTCACCATGAATTTGTAATCTGTGATATTAAAAATGTTCCCTTTTTTTTTGTTGAACATGGGAAGATGTGCATACTCAAGATTCCAAATGCAGAAAAGCTGGAGTCTTAGTAAAGATGGAGAACGGGTAATGTTGAGGTTTCATCTGTGTTCTCCATTAGCTCTATGCAGAACAGGATTAAGAAAATGCTTATTTAAACAGGATGACATTTATTACCCTGAAAGTTCTGAAAAAAGAGTTATTGAGAGATACTTGCTCTCTAGGGTGATAAAGAAAGACTAAATTGTTATTTAAAATTACAGAACATAACAGATATCTGCGTGTTGGACTCTGCATAAAACTGATTTTTCTGTATGGTTAAATTCAGAGTATAATTTACTTCTTTTTTTTTTATTTCCCAGAACAGATGCCTGCTAAATATAATTTACTTCTTGAGGGGCAGTATCTCAGCAGTGTTGCTGTGTTCTCTGTGCATCAGCACATCATAAAAGTGCAGTTGATTTTAAAATGTACTTAAAGAGCTCTCTGAAATATTTATTTTACTATAGAGTTTTTTTTTCTCTTCATTATTAAGTATGTTTATGTAGCTAAAGAAGAGCTGTGCATAAACCATCACATTTAATCTGGCAGCTGCCTTTCTTTTTTTGCATATCTCTGTCTTTGGAAAATAAAGACTCTTACCTTTCTTTACAGGCCAGAAAAACTGGGTAAAACACAGGTTCTTCCACTTAATGGATGTTTGACAAAATATTCTTGTTGTGCCAAACACATTGGTGTTGCTAGTGAGCTTGTTAGAAATTCAGAAACTCAGAATTTATTTCAGATGCTCTGAAAAAGAAAAAATCTGCACAAGATCTCCAGTTTATTGTACACATTAAAACTTAAGAGGTGACTTCTAACTCAACATGTCCTTTTTGTCTGAAAAACACGCACAACTCATTCTTTGTGATGCAAATATAGCACTAAAAATGTACATGTTTATGTTTATGCCTTTAGCTTTATACTGTATTATTCATTAGTGTATCATATATACACTAGTGTTGTGTATCTTATAGCATTCTCAAGAGTTAGAGAATACATTAAAGAATATTTCTGTGTTAAAAATTGTTGGATAATTTCAGTCATTCCTATAAGTCAGAACCAATATTCTTTACTTTCTCATTTAAGTATAATTTAAGTGATAAATTCTGCCTATGGACACTTGTAAATGTGTATGTGTGTGCATGTGTGTATGTGTGTGTGTGTGCGTATGTGTGTTTTTCAGGGGCCGTTGACATTTAGGGATGTGGCCATAGAATTCTCTCTGGAGGAGTGGCAATGCCTGAACACTGATCAGCAAGATTTGTATAGAAAAGTGATGTTAGAGAACTACAGAAACCTGGTCTTCTTGGGTGAGAATAACTATAATACACAATCTCTTATATACTCCAAAAGTTTCATTTCTCTATTTTTGTAGAATAATTTTTGGTAATTTATGTTTTTCTTTCCTTCTTTCTTTCTTTCTTTTCTTTTTTTTTTTTTTTAACTTTTTTATTATTTTAAAGATGGGGTTTCTCCATGTTAGTTAAGGTGGTCTCAAACTCCTGACCTCAGGTGATACACCTGCCTTGGCCTCCCAAAGTGCTGGGATTACAGTAGTGAGCCACCACACCCAGCCAATTTATGCTTTTCATGAGTGAATTTATAATCCCTGTTTTCAGAAAGTCTTGAGATATTGTCCACATAGAAAAAATTTCTTTAAGATGTTTTATCTTGGCCCGAACTTTTTACATTCCTGAACTGGTCTGTAATCCTCACTCTAGAGTAGTGGTAATTTCAGAAATTTAGTGGTATAAAATATTGTTGACCCTATGTTAAAATAGATTTGCCACCACTAATTTTTGACTTAGAGTACTGGGTAGTGAAATTAAGGACCTATAAATTTAAAATATTTTCTAAATGTTAAGAACCTTCTGTCATTAAATAGTATTTTGGGATTAATTTTCTAGAATGTTCTATGACATCCTTTTTTTTTTTTTTTTTTTTTTTTTTTGAAAGGGGTTTTTCTTTTTTTTCCCCGGCTTGGGGGAAATGGGGGGGGTTCCGCCCCCCCCCCCCCCCCCCCCCCTGGGTTTTGGCAATTTCCTCCC